AATATTACAAATTGCGACATCAAGACACATATAGGAAGGAAGAAGTCCTATCACCATAACCTGATTTTTATTTACATAGATAAAAGCTAGATCAATCGGACCGTTTCTAAACATAAGATTAAGCATATTTTCAGATACTCTGTTTTACGTAATTTAACCAAAAATCATTACAAAATACGCAAACTATTTTCACAATCTCTCTCGCCATCGCTCGTCTTAAACCTCTCAACCTTTTAATTTACCAATTATTTATTATTAGCTTCGATAAAATTCATGTTATTTTCGGCAGTTATTAGATTTATATTTAAAACTTTAGAAAGGAATGTCATTTTTCTTATAATAACAAAATTTCAAATTTATCATCTTTGATTTGAAGTAAAATCTTTTATTTTTATAGCGTTGTCCTAATACCTACATGAAGAATATAATAAAAATTAAAATATCCTTCATAACTGATTAATATTATTTTTTTATTTATTTCAGTTTTCAAACAAAACTGTCTTACTTATGTTGTTCGATTACTAAAAATTGGATAAATAGGTAACACCATTTATTTTATTATAATAGCGTAGGTTGATGTAACACACACTTATGGTATGTATGCCTTCACGTCTTCTATTCGTTCGTTGTTTTTTTTAACAGTTTTTCTTAAATCACTTGCAAGGCTTATCAATTACAATAAATCTATCAAACTATTTGACGTCAATGCTTACTGTGAAGTAAATGACTGAAATTCAAAATTTTAATTATTGTATAAAAAGGTATAAACAAAAATATTTCATGTCATCACAGAAAATTCGAAATAACAAATAACAATATAATATATTGCGTAAAAGCGAAACGCGTGTAGTGTCGTAGAAAGTAAATGTACCTAACAAAATAAAGAATACTTATTTGTAGTAATTATTCCTAGCTTTTCCCCCGCGGCATTGCTCACAGAAATTAGTATTGTTTCTTCATAAATCCTTTTAACTCTCAATTCACCCTTACACCGTTTTAATTTTATGTAATGTCGCCATCTTAGATTTCAAATACAAACGTAGCAACAACATTTCATCCTTAGGGGTTGATTTTTAAAAATTGCCAAAACACGTATTTGCTTAATTTCAACAATGATCAACGTTCGAGTAAATCCGAGTACAAATAAAATATACCCCATGGAAACGTTGCAATCGCTTTTCATTTGATTAATAATATCAAACAGCATATGTAGCAAGTTTCAAGTAAATTCAACCTCAAATAAAGTATGTCCTAAACAACAATTGCAACATCTTTTTACCCCCCCTCCCCTTTAGAGGTTGAATTTTTTAAAATATGAGAGACCATTAAGACCAAGTTTTGCAACTCCTCTTCCCCCCATGGGAACGGGATAAAAAGTTGTCCGTCTCCTGAATGTAAGCTACCTCCCCACCAATTTTCAGCCAAATCGGTTCAGCCGTTCTTGAGTTACAAATAGTGTAACTAACACGACTTTCTTTTATATATATAGATTAAAAAAATACTAAATTGAATGAGAAATATATTTTACTAATGAGAAACTGTT